AATGCGAAAGGTTGTCTGAGTTGATAAATGCAGCAAGGCCTCAACGTGTAGAAAGGCGAGACTTGCTTAACACTCGGTTGTGTAATCGCCATTACATCCCAATTAGGCGGATGATCTGGAGTAAATGTCTATGGTCGCAGCTCCCTTATGTGTGTAAATTTTTGTGCATTTTGACATTACAACTGTACCATTGTGATTTTCAGTACCACAGGAGAGGTCTGAGATTCAGTAATGGGAAGCCGCTAGGGAGGGATAAAGGATGCCCCGATGTTAATGAGTAAAGTCGGAGAGTAAGCAATCATCGTAGGGAAGGCATAATTGTGGAGTTGAGTACGTATAATCAGACGCGAAGGAAAGGGATGGGGCTTTTGGAATGTATGACTGGAGAGCATCTCGTTTACCATCTTGCTTTTAATCTGTGCGGACTGGTCTTAATGCCAAGTTAAAGCTGAGCGAAGCTTTTCCCTCCTGAATACAAGTAGGAAACTCTACTTAATGTTTTCAAGGCAAACAAAAACGAGCCCGCCATTTTTACAATTCCCAGCTGGATTTCAAACTTTCAGCTGGATTGGCAAACTTCTGCAGTGCCAATGAAGAACCTATGCATCTACAGAAGAGTTGGATACGACGTCTACTTTAGGCATACATTTTATTTCCGTGTTCCACAAACAACCTATTGACAACTGAAACAACGTCAACGTGGACCGTCAGAAAACTTTGGGTTCAAAGTTAACTTACCACATCGGCGTGTAGAGGTCTGTAGTGATATCACGCTGGATTCCCTCCAGAGAGCTTGTTTGATTCCTGTAGTTCCTGTCTAACTCTGGACACTACTGAAGATCCACCGGAGTTCCCCCCTCTTATTCCTTCATTGAGGCTTTAATTGAAGCTTCTGAGAGGGCTAAATGTATTCCTTAGTCATACATGAGCTGCCAGGTAGGTGTTTCCCGCACCACTGAATCCATTATGATGGCTGACGCCGTAGGTGTACCAAGAAGAGCGCCGATTTTGTCGCTCAGAGGAAGAGAGGGTAATGCAATACCTTGTTTATGTGACTACCTGCGTGATTGACGAGCTATTGGGTGTTAGTATTCAGCTAGAGGCTGCGTGGAACGGCTTTTGGGCCGAATTAAAGCTTGTCCTCCCTTTTGCTCCCTGAATACAAGCATTCAACCCTTCTTAATGGCCTCCCATACCTAACGAGAAGTCTCCAGCCGTCATACCATTTATAAAGGCAATCAAGAATACGCATTATTGCGTTCATAATTTTGCGTTCTGGAGGAAAGTTATTTTAAATCTATAATCATGTGCTTTTGCAAGGATTCCAATTATATGATCATGTATTTTCCACAATCGTACTTCTATACTGCATTTTTAGCTAAAATGTTCTACTTTTGAGAAGTCTTTTTGAGGTCTTGTTTACACACCCACCTGTAGGCTTTCATCCAACGCTTGGTTACGTGGTCTGATTTTTGAGGCAAGCCAAAATTCCACGCCTTCCTCTCTCTTTGAATGCAGGTTTTCATTCACGCCTAATGTTCTCTCTCTCAGTGAATGCAAGCAACAGTGTAATATTATGTTTATGTGGCCACCTGATGCCTGGCGGTTACTTTGGCATTCGTCTTGCACTTGCAAGCGTGAGCTGACCTTTGGACTAGGTCAAGGCCGAACCCAATTTCAGGAAGTCTAAGAGTTCTACACACATTACTTTATGTACCGTTCCGAGACTTACCACCCAACAGAAGGCATTGAGTTTGGACTGAGCCTTGGCTTGGCTCGAAGGCCAGCTCAAGACTACATAAACAAGACGAATGCCAAGTAACCACCAGATATCAGGTTGTCATATAAGCAATGTATTACACTTTACACTATGCACTTCTAACTGCTGTTGCATCCCTATAAATCTTTGATTTATTAGTTAATAATCTTATTACTTAATTCCCAAAATAACCTCTGACAAGCAGATTGAGAAACAAGTTAGCGTATGATTAACTAACTCAGTGAATTCCATGTAAAAATTGGATAGCACTGTGGTGGCAATAAATCATACAAAATTTCTCTTTTGCCTAAATTTTAAAACGCTTCCATTGTTTGAAATTATCTTCAAGGTCTTCTTGTTTACGACGCCAATTTGTCACGTGTCTGATTCATTATTATTTGATTATTGTTAAACGTTGGTTTGCATCTTTCAGGTGTTTATCCTTTCCCTACGGTAATAAGGTTGGTCCCGTTTCCACTACCGTAAAATACTGCCTCGTCAGCTTAAGCGAAATAACGCAATCGAAACGACTACAAAAGCAGCAAAAGTACTGTATTCATTAAAATTTTCGGGGCCGTGGCAGCTGGTACTTCTGAGTACTTTCGGTTTTACATGCCTGTTTCACTCATTCCTTCTCTTGTGCGATGTACTATAGAGACCAAGTCGCAGTCGCTTGTGGGTGATGATGGACTACAGTTTGCCTTTTAGAATAGATAGATTCCTGAAGCACTCCATTATACGGAGTCTCTAATGTGAAATTCTTATGATAGCATGCTTTGAGAACTTTTAGAATTGGAGCAGTAAAGTCTACAAAGCCTCTCAGTTGCATGGAAGACTTTGGGTAGTGCTCTCTCTCTCTCTCAACTTTCCTACGAAAAGCAAATGATCTATTTCCTTAGATAACTAAGTCAGACAACCCACATAAGTGTGTCACTCTTATAATTGACCACAAGCAACTTCAAGTTGAGCAACATCTTAATTGAAGGCTCCTTATCAAGCAGGGACGTTAAATTTATAGTCTCAGGAGTGTGGTACTTATCAATGGTTATGCTCGACTCTCAACTTACTCGCCGTGCTCTCAGACAGGCAAGAGAAGGTTTTAAGACGTGTATAATGAACCCTTGAAAAAATGTTTGTTTCCTTATTTTCCTTCCCCTTTTGGAGCAGGGGACTAAACGACATCATTTGCTTCAACCTGACCAACTACTCTTTGGGGCGCCTAATTAAGCAATGATTATTTCGCTTGAATGACATAATAATTTCTTGTTTTATGAAGCAGAAGTGAAGTTAACTCACTAGCAAGTTTCAAAAGCTGTTGAAAACCTTCTTGTTGAGAAATTTTGCTGATCAAAAAAGGCCTTAAAAGGTGTTTTGATAATATAGTGTTTTGAAAAACTTACAATCTACCTTCACTTCAAACCACAAGACACCCTCTAAAAGATCGCATATTTAATGTGAAATTTGAGGAACAGTTAGAACTGTAGAAATTGTGGAGAGAGAGACCCGTCTCATCTCCATTCTCGCCCTTCTGTTTTGAATTAGATAATCTCAAAACTTCATGAAAAGTCGAATAACTGCTAAAAGTATGGATAAAATAGAAATACTTCCATTATACTTTTTTAAAGAAATTTTGCTTGTTGAAAGTTACCTACATTTATATGATCTCGGGTTGATTGCTTCCCTTGTTACTTCTCATGGACTAATCGATGTGTCTCTGGAGGTCAGGGCCTTCCATAAGCACCTCTTCGTCAAGGCCCTTCAGACCATCACGGTAGTAGTAGTAGTAGTGGTAGTAGTTGTTGCAGTAGTATCCTTACCAATAGTTTAAATGTCACGTTTGAGGGATTCGCAACAGAAGAGCAATCTTACTCTGTTGGAATTCTGTGCAACATCAATCAGATAGCCGATGCATAAATACCTTTGGCGAGAAGTCAATAACTTTCATGACTCTTTTTGCGTTGGTCCCAGATGAGTACGCCAATAAGGGAAAAACGGCATTAGGACGGCACGTATTTGGAGAGTAATGTTTAAACTTCAATGCCGGACCCTTTAAATCTTTCCTGCATCTAGTGCCATTCCTTTTGGATTGCAGGTAAGAGCTTTAGCCAGAGTCCCGCTATCTCATGGATCTCGCATCTGTTTCTTCTATATTTTGAGGTTTTGTCACCGCGTAGGTCAAAAGGCAAAAAGACCATGACAAGCACCAGAGGTGACACAATGTCAGTTCTAATCTGTTCAACTTCTTAAACACTGCTACGTGGTCATTACCATGCAGCAAAACGTTTAGGTCAAATTAAAGGTCTCATTTTAATCGGTAATATTCCAGTAGTTTTCAAAGGGCAATCAGCGAGTTTAACGATGTGAACATGATTTAAAGCCTTATTTAAACTCATATACATTTATACATGGATATGGATAAAGAACGATTTCGGCACTCAATTAAAGGTTTTATATTTCATACCCCTACGATCTCAACTGATAAATTCCACTCTTCTAGATGCCATTCAAAAGCTTTAGGTGATGCGTCGCATCATTTCTTATACTTAAACGGTCGTTATTATAGGACCTTCATCACTTTGAATTTCTTTAGTTGTTGCCTGCCCAAAAGGGACAAGTAATCAAATGGTACCTCCGAGTCGCGCGAATCATGAGAAATGCAATACATTCAAGAAAGTTCTTAATTCCTGGGTAGTTTATGTGATGTTTTGTTTATTTGACTATCTGAAATCTGACGGTCACATTAGGATTTGTCAGACCCTCGTAATTGTGGGCTGGCCCTTGGGCCACGCTTTGTTCTCTTTGGAATACATGCATCCACCTTCACTTACTGCCTTCTTCCATTTTGTGGAAGTTTCGGGACGCTACAGTTGTGTAAAAACACAGCGCGGTTTGCGTTGTTTTTCAAAATAATTGTTGACTAATTAAATAAATTTTCAGATATTTGTGCCACCTAATAACCCACAAAATCACATATTTTCACCACTCAGAGGAGATGCCTTGTGAGGCGCTTGGCATTTGGCAATCACTTCGCTTTTTATTTTTGTTTTTGATAGCCTTCATCGCGACTAATTAATCCAAGGTCATGTTGACTCCACTATTCGAATTCCGATTGTGAGTTCTTGAGTGGTTTTCAAGTTGGCATTTTCTCATCACACCTCGGTTGCAGGATGTTGGAAAAAATATTTCTTTCGTGAATGAGAATACATAGAAATGCGGTTGGAACTAGTGAGAAAGTTATACGTCAAGGTGAAGAAAAGCCATAGACGGTGGTGCTAGAGGTGCCATCCCCACAATTGGGATCCTCATACGCCGGTTGAAATAAAGTTAGCTTTGAAGGTGTGGAATCATAAGAAAGGACAGACTTTAGAGATTGATCACTTTCTAACGTCACTGGTGATGTCTTTTGTGCTGGCATATATGTGGGATTTAGCTCTGAATAGCGGTAATCAAAGTTTCCGTTGGGGTTGTAAGGCGGCGTTGAGTAGTGATTTGGATGACTAGTACAGTTCGATTGTGGAATTTGACGTTGGAAGCGGTCCTCAAGTTGTTGATGGGTCTGCGTCCATGGCGATGTGGAAGCTGGTGAAATGGTGTCATAGGTTGAGGAGGGTTGTTGATTACTGTTGAGAAGCCAGCTAGTTGAAGGGTTGAAATGGTGAGCCGCAGGAATAGGGTCAATACATTCGGAGAAGGACCAAGGCAGACGTGCCTTGCACTCTTCTTTTACACCTAGTGGGAAAAGTTATCAGTCGTTTAGTGGACGCCAGTTTTCAAGCAGCCTATTGAGCATACGATTATTCGCTTGATGTTGAAATGAGGCTAGTCAGTCTTATGCCTTCGGGTACTGAACAGGACAATAAGTTGACCTATACCTATTAACAGTTTGGAAATGCTGCCATATTTAACAGATGAATCTTTCTAAAACTCACCACAATTTGTCTCTGACTGCTGGATATTCAGGAGGAAGGACTGCTGCGCCTGCTGCTGTTGCTGCTCCTTGTAATTCTGCTGTTGAGAACGATCCATGGAAGTGAAATAGGCCATGTTGTCCTCAGCTGGATTGCACCACTGTTCTCCTGTATTTCTTACACCATAAGGCATATGACTAATCGCAAATGGACTTCGATAGAATGCAGAGCCTTTCAACACTCCACCAAGTCCAATGGATCCTGTATTTGGCAGATTAATGAGCGCCTTCTCCTTCAACGCAGGTTCTTGGCTGCTGATGGGTGATGTGCTCTCCATCAACTTTTGTTGATCTCCATGATTCTCGGCATTATTGTACGCCCGATATCGGCACCTATTTTTCCGTCGCTTTGCATGATATGCATAATTATCCCTCGCCGACCAGCCAGGGTACATGCGTTGGTGGAGCTCCTTTTCCTTTCTCGCCATTTCGTAGAATTTTGCCTGCTCTTCATGTGGTAGCGCATGCCATTTTCTGCCAAGTATCTGGTTGATTGCAGCTGACTCCTTCATAGTGCATTCAGCCACAACTTTGGCTCTCATCTCCTTCATGAAAAGCATAAAGGCATTTAGAGGTTTTTTGACGTGGGCCGGTGACTTATCAGCTCTCTTACGAGAAGATGTTGTAGTTGAATTGACTGAATCGGAGATAGAGGAAACCAAAACACAGGATTGATTTTGCGAAGTAACTCCTTCTCCACACCTATGATTTTTTGAACCATTTACAAAATTTGAAAATTTTGTGGAGCCGTTATTGTTGGAGCCATTTGCAATGTCTGTCAAGCCAGAAAGAAAATGAACGGGATTGGAATGTGCTTCGGGAGCCGGTGGCACTGATGTAGGTGTGACAAGACTCATGGGTTTTGCAGTGCAGCCACAGGGTTCTGAATTAGGAGCGGAAAATCCGGTCTTGTAGATGCTAAAAGACATGAAGGTGTGTTGTTAGAGCGCAGGGGGGCTGTCTGTCAAGAATACCAATATGTATCAAACTCACTTCAAAGTCAGGCGTCTATGCAATCATCACAATGTGTATCCGCATCTGGATGAACCAATCAAAGTGGGGTAATGAAGAATGAGAGAAAGAGCAAACAGAGCGCGTGAAGTAATTGTCTGTCTCTAATTTATCAAATCTTGGTACACAATCAAATTCCACTACTCCATCTCTACAACAATGATCTGAATTCCTCGGCTAGTATAATATTTATTCTTTAACACTTTAGTTCACTTCTCAATACATCTAAAGAAATAAAAATGATTTTTGTGGCATCAAAACGAGGATACCACTGCAGTTTTTCCGCCTCCAATCGATGGTGGATAATTCTTATTTTCTTCTACTACAGTTTTGCCGACGACAATTTTAATATGCTAAACACCAAAACATTTACGACCTCCCTCGCTTTAAACGCGCGATTTAGGTCATCGTGAGGGCGAGTACGATCTCAGAGCTTTAATTCCATTCTTTTATAATAAATCAAATTCTACCCAAAGTAATACGAGTAGCAGGCTGTAGCTGCTTTTCCAGAAGTAGTCAAAATCTGATCAGTCTCATTAACTCGAACATTCAAGCGGTACAATTTGTACTTTTCGACAGATTTGGGCTATAAATAGAACATTCATTCCTCAATTTAGAAAGTTATTCTACTATTTGATTTAGGCATAATTTTAGTCTACCGAATTTGCCAAGACAGTGTGGCAAAGGTTGTTGCAAGCCCCTCCCGTTTATAACGATTTGTTTCATGAAGTCAACAAAAGGGCTTCTTTAATTAATTCTCTTTCTGTCGCACTGCCTTTGCTTCTTAATCGACTGTTTGATCTTGTGACTAGTTAATGGAATAGCTGAGAAGTTGTGGTCGTCACTGCATGTGAAATGTGATTTGTGGAAACCGAGAGTCTCCTTTTCCCTTCCCAGATGGCGTATTGAGGCTGAGATACCCAAATAACAATGCAATGTTTTCAGAATGTGTGAGACAGAGGAAATTTAGTCTATCAAGCTGATTGTTGGCATTGCAAGCATGGAATAGCCACGAGATTCGCTTCCGCAATTATTCCAACATTACAATCAGGTGCGATCCATTTGCTGAAGTTTCTTATGGTCAAACAGTTCTACTGGGGACACGTCGTGTGACATGGAGAAGAGACACCTCCCAGACAGGACGCAATACCTTCAGGTCTTTCTGAGTTGCAAGCTAGTCTGCCATCGCTTGGTTGACGCTAACTTCTAGTATCTCTGCAGCCAGAATATCCTATCCTTAGTGAGACGTGATGTGCATCTGCCTAGTCCCAATAATCTTGTATGCAAACAGTGGCGTGCCTTTAGTGAGCCTTATGCATTTAGAACATGTCTTTGTGCCAGAGAAGTTATTACCTTTAAGCTGCTTGATTACAGAAAAGACATTGCAGTGGGAAACCTTCGAGTACTGAATGCCACTGTGCATTAATTTTATTTGAGGTGAGGCAAATAATGGCATGCTGTTCTTGGATAGATGAGGGAGGGTGTTCATAAAGCGATCTGTTTGTGATTTACCAACAGTGCGCCATCACAGGGCTGTGGGATAGCGAGTCCTTCCGGCAATAAACTACACAGCCCAGTAGAAGATGAGGTGAGGAGAGGAAAGGAGCGGTGCACTCCATCTCTTTCTCTCCCCACCTCTTAATCTGACAACCTTTTTACCAACAAGTACGTCTCAGGGGTTAAAATCACATGAGACAAACAAGTGCCATACTTTTAGGACAGTCAGAAGTTCATGGTCGGTCAAATTGCAAAATCTGTGGGTTCCCCACAGAAAGGAGGTCTTCATTGGCAATGTGGAATTAGCCTTTCATTTTGAAGAGCTCTAAATTTGGTGTAACTAATGCTTTAAATCCCAGAGTTGCCTAGCATTCTTGCGAAACGATTTTTAGCTTTAGACCAAGGCTCTTCAGCAATAATAAAAGTGCTGCTTGATGAATTTATAGAATTTCTCAAAACCTAATAAACGGTAATTGTTTTGTCAGAATTTATCCTGTCTTCAAGCACATACATTTTGAGGCCATTGAGATTTGTCAAAGGCGAAGACTCTACAGCTTTTCAGTTAATCAGCTGCCAGTTTGGATAGGATAAACCTGTATTCTATCCTCCATCAGGCAAGTATTTTTAACTTCATTTCTTGTAAAATGTGCCAATTTTTCGACAGCTATCACTTGCAGATTGCTAGATGTGAGCCAACTTGTTAGGTAGGGACTGTGTTATTGCCTTACCTATTACCCTCTTGCAGGCTGGTGACTGCCTTTTCACACTCCATCGTGGACTCATATTTGAGGGACTTGGTATCAGGAAAGTAGCTTGAAGAGGCGACAGCATTGGAAGAACTGATGTAGGCAGCGGCTGCTACTGCTGCTACTGCAGCAGCGGCTGAAAATGATCTTGCAGTCTCATCGTAGTAGGAAGCTTGGCAGTACTTCTCGTCCCTCAGGTGGTTAATTGATTCTGTGGAGTAGACCGAATGAGTTTGTTGACAGCCCCAAGCATTCGGCTGGAAACCAGGTGCACCTGGGGAGAAGGTTGCCGTATAACATAATGGAGAAACTATTCTCTGCATTGGAGCAGATAACACAAACATTGCGAAAAATAATGAGGTTTTACTATGGGGAGAGAGATGCTAAACCATGGCTTAGAGCGGAGGGTATTCTCCTCTTAACCATGTTCGCTCAAGCGGCATTTGTCATTGCCTCTTGTAAGCTTAAGTTCACAATCACATTATCATCATGTGAGAAATAGGGAAGGCATTTAGAAACATAAACGAGAGTGACAACGACTGAAGTGCCCAAAGCCAGAAATTTTCACAACTTCTGTAGTGGCGGAATTCATGGGACGCTTGTACCTACAAGAATGTTTCTTTTATAACAGGCAATTTTTATTCATGGCCTCTGTCTACTTATTTTGCCGTCAGTCAATTAAGTAGTATGAAGACCACAAGAAAGATGGGGTGATATTTGTGTCCTATAATTGTCTGAATCGCTGATTTTAAGCTGATATCTGTCACATAGTGGATATTCTCTATTTTCAGTGCACAAAGAGAGCACAAACACCGGCATAATTTTGTTTCTAAAGTTGCGTTATGGAGAAGAGGAAGGTCAATAAACGACGTACTGACAATGACATATGTAAACTACTGTTACTATCTAGGTTCACACACATTTTTTTATTAAAATTGCAAACATAAACGCGAAGTTGTATAAAAATGGGTCTACAATCATCTTTGTGTATGGATGAAAACGCTCTGGTACATCTGAGAACGGCTTTAGGAAGCGCCAAATAAATATGGCAAAATTGTCTGTTTTGAAAAGCTAAGTTAATCCGCAAAAGGAGACCCTTTCTGATTTTCATGCTAGAAATGCCTGTACAGCATCAATCTGTATCACTTGTTTGGACATTTACTGCCTCAAGGCAAATAAAGACGCAGAGGAGGAGCGTAGGGCGAGGCAAAGAAGAGGCGGGAGGGGAAAGACGTGGACTGAAGAAGAGATGAAGTTATTTTTTGTCATGTATTCAAACCTCTAGCTTGTAATTAAGTAGGTCTCGTCAAAATTGCCTCACATTGTGAGAAAGGAAAGGGAGGGGTGTGGGAGGGAAGAACCAGACAACTTTTGACTCTCACCTCAAGACATGATAAACTGCTCTTTCGTTCTCATACGAAATTCATTGCACATCTAGAACAGATTTCAATGATAAAATAACTTCAGAAAAGACACCCTTAGAAAAAAATAAGAAAAGGGGACAGTTACAGATAATGCCACTCCGTGGTTATAAAAATGACGTCCAACCACGGGAATGGAGTCTCCCGCCTCCCCATAGAGGCTGACTGTTGATGTGCAAGTGATCAAGTCACTGCCGTCTGGAGCGACTCCTCCACTGGTCAGGCACTACCAAAAACTCCCTCCTTCGCATGCCACTCAAATAAAGCCAAGTTTGGTCAGATTAAAAGAATTAATTTTAGTAGGTGGATAAAAACCAAATGAGTAAATAACGAGAAGAAAAAGATGATGTGAAGTTGAGTTATTTTATGAGGACTTAAAAATACCTTTACTTAACTTTTCTATTGTCATTGTTTTGTCTGCTTATTCATATCATTAACGTCTCCATTCGGAGTCAGAGAAGCACTTCTTCCATGCCTACAACTTGGCTGACGTAAGTCATGCCAAGTAAATTGTCAAGACATGTGTGCATTCAAACACGTTTACACATTGACAAGTAAATTGAATCTCTTAAAAATCACCGGTCTAATGCCAAGCACACAATGTCAATGCATGGAGAAGGCAAGGCAGGAGGGCTAGAGGTGTACACTCACCGCTCTGTTGTTGTTGTTGTTGTTGTTGCTGTTGGTGGATTGCATAGTTTCGATGATGATGCAATTGGCTAAGGTAGTCTGGCTGTTGTTGACTACTCGAATTGGAATAGTTGCTCTCCTCTCTATGTGCCATTTCCCTGAGGCGGTACAAAGGCGCAAGGGAGATGGGGCTGGGGATAGGTCGACTATTTCCCCTTACCTCTTTCCTCTTTCTTCTCCTCAAAGCTCAAAAGAAGATGTTTTTTTTTGTGAAGGAATCCTTTGAGGCAGTTAAAAGGGTAGAAGACATATGCCCTCGCTCTATCTTCTTTTGTGTCCCTTGGTGTCTTTGTGTCTCCCGTGCCTTTGTGTGACATGCGGGGAGATAGTGAGAAAGTCCGTGGAAGACAATTTCTCTATACTTCCACGCTCTTTGATTATGACTTCTCTTTTGCTTCCGTTTTTACCTCTGAAGGCGGTGGCGACGTCGCCTTTCGTGTGGAGGACAGTGGAGACTTGAACTGTGGTGTTTGATGATACAGAGCAAGCGACAAAGAGGAGAATGTGTTCCTCTCCTCCCCTTTGAGTGAATATGAAAGTCAACGTCAAGGCAAAGGCCAGTCTTTCCACTTTTCCTTCCCCCATCCCCTCTCTCTTCTCCCCTCCCCCCCCCCAATTCTCTTTCCCATCCCCGCTTCACCGTCAAACGCCAACCACTGTCTGTTGACTGAATAATTAGACAGTGCGTCCGTGGTCTCATTGGCTCGCTTTAGAACGGTACCACCACCACCTACGGCAGAGGAACAAACTGTCAACCAATGAGGAGTTTCGAAGGGTAGTTTATGAGCGGTTGCTCTCGCACTTCGATTGGTCTCTACATCGACAAAGTACATCCTACTGTTGCATTGATGTCTCCTACTACGTTTCTACAATCTACTTTTAACCTGATCTCTAAGAGACACGAATTTTAGAGGTTTGAAACTTGGATTCTCTCCTTAAATAAATCTTTGCTTTTCATTGCGTGTTTCCCTCATCATCCCAAGTGGGCACGTGTTTCCCTTCTAACACTCCGATTGCATAAGTATTTTTATGGAAAAATTTGTTACCTTTTGATAGTCTCTGTGGAAAGCGCTCAAGCTCTTACACCTTGGCAGTGGCTACAGTAAGTGTTGGTGCCGTAAAGGCTGCTGTAACATTGGCCTGACTTAACAACCTCGTAAGGAGAAGAACTGTAACCCGTTCGTAATGACTCGTTAGTTTAGTAGACGCTACTTGTGTCAAGGTGGTTCCACCTTGTTATTGTTTGACAATCAGTGTAATTTTTCAGGGGAGGTCTTAGACTCCCTCCACTGCCTCTCCCCAGGTCCCCCTCCCCACCCCACTTCGTTTCTCCCAACGTCCAAATTATCACAACGTGGATGATAACATCTGTCGACAAGTTTAAAAAAATGAAATAGCGGAGGAGTGGTAGTTGAACGGGTGCACCTTCATTCCTTCCTTTCTCCATTTATCCACGCATTTTCCATCTGTTGTTCGTGGTGCCTGTAGAGGCGGAGCCCCTGTCCCATGTCCCCTTCTATTCACCTTCTTAGGTACTCTCTCCACCTGGCCATATGGTACGGGAGGAAAGAAAAAACACATTTACTCAACCCTTTGCCTATTTAGGAATAGCTACTCATCGCGTGCCCTTTAATTATGGAGAAAATATGGAAGGGGAGGAGGAGAGGATTGCACCTGTCGACTGCACAGGCGAGGGAGGTAGGGGTGGGGCAGAGAGGTGAGGAGAATGGACTCTGTGATTTGGGGAATGTCGAGTTGGGCAGGGATGGAGATAAGGTTGGCGTAATTACAGTGAGGCGGGGCTATTTGGATAACTATGTACTCACTGTAGGGCGAAGAGGGAGAAAGAGAGAACGACTTGGACTACTGGAAAGGCAAATTGATAGTGGGAAAAGTGAGCTGTAAAGTTGGGAAGCCTAACATCAAAATGTATTCATGCGAAGGTTTGCTCTTTAATTTGTACAGTTTAAGCGCTGTATTAATTAATTGCATGGGTGTGACGCCAGCATTTCCTTACGTTTACTTCAGATAAGCTCATAATCTGTTAATGAGACTTTACGATGTAAGAATGTGTCAAAAGGGAGTTTGCAGTTTAAAAATTTAAAAGTAGTCATAAAATATGGAGAAAATACGTTCCCTTTCAAGTTGTAAGTTATGGATGAGTCGGTCCATTCATGTAGGTCAAGCTTCAGAGTCCTATTTATTCCACGAGTTATAAAATGCGGCTTAGATGATAATATTTGGCTGCAGCCTTCCTCTGCACTTCATCTTCCATGCCGCGGTAGGCCTTTTGAACATATTCAACAAACCTGCCTTCAAAAGTCACTCATATTTTCGACTTGAGGGAGGCATGGCAGCTCTGCAAATGTGGCAGCTTCCTTACTTTCTCGTAGTTTGAGATGTAGGCATCGCTCAAACTGTCCCATAATTGTCCAATTTTGTTTTTAAATGACTCCGTTTGAAGCCATCCATGGCCTTTAACTGAAGTCGTGGTAAATGAGGTTTAAGACGCCTAAGTTGTGCGACTTAATGAGGCATGAGTGCACAAAAGGGGAAGAGGTGAGCACTCGTGAGACAAAAGGGAGGGTGAGGGAATGGATAGACCTTTGATTGCTTTTACTAAAACAGGCGTCACCCCCTCTAGAGTAATAGCGAGCTCACCTAAATCGCGTTGCAATTATCTCTATACCGGTCTTTGAAGTGGGGAACTCAGCAAACCACGCGTATCCGCCTGTCTACCTCTGTGTTTTTTAATAAATCTCTACTTATTCGCAACTTTTGATTACTTTTCTTCTGTACCTCAGTAATCTAAATATGGTCATGGTTACTGAGATATGAGAAAGGAAGCGTTACGTATATTCCTCAAATAACTACTAGAAAAAGAGTGTTGAGAGATATGACACTTCTTTAAGGCAGCAAATACGGCTGGTGATTGCCGATTCAATGGGTTCGACAGATACGTTCTGATCTCCATACCGTACAACTTTAGTCGTTAAATGAGTTTGAAAGTCTACAAGTCGGTTTTACGGATCTGAGACCCAATAATGTGCGAGCAATTCAGTTTACTCGTCTAATGGATACTCATTCTACTTAAACAAATTAGTAGCATATGCCATTGTGAGAGTACGATGCCTTTCCTTCATTACTGACGCAAAATTTAGAGCATTCTCATCTTATTATTGGCCAAATGCTTTGCCCATTCACTTCTTAACTGCAAAATATAGGGTTCATGCTAGTGAAAAGGAAGGAGGAGGATAGTATTGTGGCAATTTAATAAATTTGTTACTGAAGGGGGTTCCATTCGTCATATTGCACTCACTACAATTTCTACTGTAGTCTGTTTCCCAATTCTTTGGACTACATGTCTAGGTTGCAAAGTTAGATGACAAAAGTATAAATACTTCCTCGGTAAAAACCTCTACACTTTTGTGAAAGATAAGAAACCAAAAATTCTTAGCCCCTTGGTTAGCATAAAGTATAAAGCAACAATCTTACAATGACATACAACTGATAATCAACCAAATGTTTGACAGACCTGGCAAGGTCTGAATATGATGGCAGGCCAAATTTTGCCAAAATTTCCAAATCGAGATGAACATTTGCCTGCCTAACCCATTTACTTGTGGATGCCCTTAAGGAGCAAACAGTGCGCCTCATTAAATCGTGTTATCTTTCCCCAGACCCTCTGCTAATTTTTTTCGTTCTTCGCCTAATAGCAGTAGGATAAAACGTCTCATAAGACTGGAGGATTAAAGGGAGCATTGACTATTCATCGTTTTGACCTGGTCAATTTATGGGCAATGCTCTAATCATCGAGCAGGGCGGGTAAACAGGGATCATTTGAGCTACAATTCTTACCACTGCTTTCAACTCTCAGCTATCACCCAGTGACTATGTTTTGTTTTCCTGAATCAAAACAAAAGCCAGACGTGTGTAAGATGTAATTTCATTCTTCATAAGTAGGTCATAAAATAGGGACCGGTTATTATCCTCTTCTGGAGAAGGTAGAACTTGTGAAACTTTCCATTGATTATTAAAGGCTTGAATTGGCATTTGCTCGACTAAAAGCAGGTGTCGATGGTTGTAATCCTTTTACAACGACAAGGCCATGGATGCGGTCGCTTTGCTGGTCATGTTCCCTCAGCCGGCTAATCTAGCCGGGTTAAGCTATGCATTCTATAGCGGCGCCTAGAATACATGTATTCTAGAGGAAAATAGAATTAAGCCTCGGCTTGGCCCGGAGGCTTACCTACGCGTAAAAGAGCGAGATGACTTCCAAATTCGTCACCAGATATTAGAGGATCACATAAGCAAAATATTACACAGCCGCTAGCTTCTGTTGGATGAAGTTATTAGCGCTCCCTAGGAATACTTTTAGTGCCAGCCATCGAATATTCGGCATTGAGAAAGAATATTCAAGAGCCATTCGCGCCAATAATCTGCTACCATTAGACTGAAGAACAGTATTAGGTTTCCGGAGCAGCTTCCAGTGGATTTGGGGTTAGTTTTAGTCTGAGAGCCGGAATCAAAACCATGCACACCAACTGACTTCCAAATGCTTCCAAAACTGAACTTTTGACTTTGGTTAGAACGATAGATACCGGGATTACTTTTTGTTGCAACCAATGTAGCTTCCCGATTTTCCAACTAGGCAGATGCAGATATTGTAATGTTATACTTATGCTACTAACTGACGTTCGGCGGTAACCTTAGGATTTGTCTGGTCTTTGTACTCGTGGGCTGATCTTCGCGCCACGCTTAGGCGCGAATACATGTACTTAGCCTCACTCACTGCCTTCTTTTACGCCACAAATATTACACTAAGCAGAACACATATGCACTAAGGAAAATCTAGAGAGATTTAATCTTGGTTTGGTCCGGAGGCTAGCCTATCAGTACTCTGGCATGATAAAAACCAAATAATTGCTATACACCAGGTGACCACATAAGCAAAGCTTTAGAGCACCAAGCCTATTACTTTCTACGTAAATCCATTGGGAGGATGTAGTAGGTGATTAATGCACATTTGGCATAAATACATTGAATTCAATTTGCAATGACTTTATTCACACTAGTGGGAATTTCATGTTAGATACTGTTGATTTTTAAAATGACAATTGTTGGCCATTAATTCACTGCTTACCAAACAATTATTCAATTACAAGTGGCTGTATAATCAGCTTAAAACCATGCATTAACTAGAATTATCTACTCCGAAAAAATAAAATAATTATAATAATGTCAGATTAATTTTCTTTTGTTCACATCAACCACTAACGAATAATTAAGCGTTGCTACCAATTTGAAGTGACATAATAATTGCACAAGGTAATCCAAGCTGGGAGTATAACAAGGGAGAGTTTGGTAATACATGGATGACGGAAGGCAAAGAAAAGTTCTACCCTCTGAGCTCGATTTTAAGGGTATGTGTTTTGCATATATCTTGCTTGCTTCAGGACATAGCAAGGCAGCATTTTGTTTCCTTACAGTGTTTTACTGTAATTTTAATATCTTGCGATGAAGCCATATTGATTTCTTTGTTTAAATAAGTATAGTTATAAGCTCTTACGGGAAGTGTAAGCACTTTTTTGTTCTTTGCAAGGCCTTCTGTAGCTTTTATTGCCAGTTACGGCGATGATCAACATTTTTTAACCTTGAGACATCGCACTGCCATTATGAGTCTATGAAGCCCACACGCTATGTTCCCGCAGTTTCTATCCAAAATTTTCGTCCCAAACTTGTGTGCAATCCAAAAACTCAAATGTACATTCTTGGTCGGCGGGATTAATTAAAAATTGTCAATCTGTTTTAATGCCTCTGTCAAACTTTGGCAATGGTGTTTTAAGATGTCTCATAAGCCACATCCTTTAATAAGAGCCAACTTTTGGCCTGCGTAAATCAAACCTTTCTTAATTACTTCATTTTTTTTATTTGTTAGACTCTTATTTGCAAACTCTTAGCCGCACGCGATGTTTGATTACTTACAATTTTAATGTTTTCTCTTATCGTAACCTGCAGCCGCATCATTTTTATTCTATAGCCATCGTTTTCAAGTACCTAATACCCAATATTCACACAAATTTGAGCCACGAATGTGAAAAAGTCAACCCCACTTTTACACTTTGACACCCACATCACTCCAGATCTAAGACAGCCATATGAATCAAATGGCGGTCCTACTGCGATGTGATCTGATGTGGAAGTATGGATTATGTTCTTTTCAGACTTCCACGCTATAATTACTTCCGGAACTTATCTTTCTCTTCCGACATCCACACTAGAATATCAGCTGTTCAGCACACGTGTTATAAGAAATTGTCCATCATTTAGAACAATTCTATACGTTTTAAGAAAACCAGCCAGAAGCCTTAGACTCTACCTATCCCCATAAAAAACGACTTCAAAGTTAAGCACATTTGTCTGTTCTACTATTATAGCCGTGCCCCATTTAGTTAAGCGATGGGTATTTGTCCTTTATTGTCCGATTAGTTTACGCCCAAGGTGCGATCAAATATGGAAAAGGGGTGGGCAGGAGATATGACTGCCTTCTGTGTACAGAACAATTATCACCTAGACCCATATACGGGGAGTCCTTTCAACAGTACTTGCATTGAGCTACTGCTGCTCTCACAGACTGGTTAGGCTAACTTATATTTTGGGTGTCTATGCGTTTATGCCTTCTTCTCGGTGCCCTTTTACGATGATAACCCAAATGCTTAGCTGACACTTCGAAACAATCTGTAACTTTTTATGAGAAAAGGACTTTTTGAAGCATCTAGACTTAACTACCCCGACCTGTATATCCCCTTCGACAAGTCATTAAGAAGTCTTGTGTAGTTATTGTCATGACTTTAGGTTTATTACGTCCGTCAAAAAGTGATGCTATCACTTTCCCACAGGCATAAACTCTCTGAATATGTCCTGCATTTTATTTCGAATATTTTTTATTGGAGTCGAGGGCAAATGTGTCTAGTCCCGTGGTAGCCCTTCCAAAGCTCGATTTATGCCATCAAGAGAGATATCGTAGATCTGTGAGCAGGTTTTAGCCATCAGCGCCCCTATCACCTGGCTGCAACTTGGAAGTGACCGTGTGGTGCTTGTGGAAACGATGATGCAATGTAAGTCTGTGCGTTTACTCGACTTGAGGTCAAAGCATGCACTATCGAACGATTGGTGCAGACAGTAGCCAATAAACTTTCAGAGTGCAACCAGATATGATTTGGCACAAGCGGTAGTTCTCACACTCGAACTGCATTGCTAAGATTCTTTACTCCAAAGAAGCTTATTCTTTGTTTGAAAAATTTCAAAATTAGCTGATAAATGATGGAAACAAACCCCCTAAACTAAAGCCACAAATGATCACATCCTTCTCCTCTACGCTGATTGGTTGGATTCGGCTCAGCTCCCACGGCCCACCTGATTATGATGTAATTGGCGCTGCTAGCCAATCAGCTTCTAGTATTGATTCGCGTGCCTTCCCCGGTGCTAGGCGAATGGGCTTGACCGTGCATGCAACCACATTTACACACACTTGCGTGTGTGTATGCCGCTATGTGATCTGACAAGCTTAGTTCACGTGGTAAAAATTGGCATTGGTAACTCACACAATTGTCTTCAACTTGACAACCCTCTTCGACGCTGGGGGAACTTCAAAATTCCCCTCTGCTTTCTCCTCCAAAGCCCTCGAAATCCCTTAATCTTGAGCTGTTTCTGTTATCCAATCGGATTGATGTGCTATGATCGAGTGAATGAGACAATCTAGATCCCTAGACCAACTTCGGCAACTAATTGGGCATGCTGACAAAATTGCAAAATCTCATTAAAAAGAGTGTCTGAAGGAAAATTTTCAAACCTGATGTCTTCTCCTTAGCCTAGTCTAGGTCTTACTCGATCTAAGTGAGGTTTTGGGCCGAATTGACCCATTAACAATGATGGCCAGTTCTGATTTGCTGACTTAACTTGACCGCCTCACGCATCACAGGAGCTAGTTAGGTGCTTTCACTCAATCCTCTGACTGATTTGCACATTATCAGAAGTGTGCATACAAACATTCCATGCGTGATCTTAAAAAAAGATGTTCATTAAAGGTTTCGAGTACCTCTCTGCCTTATTGCTCTTGTTTTTTTTTTTTCGTTTTCCATATGTAAGAATGCTACTAACAGCAGGTAGCTGCATGGATTGATGCTTCACCCACGCATTGATTACACTCGCAACAAGTGCTTGTAGATGTACTTCAAACCTTGTTTCTCCCCCATTGTAAATAATCATCATTAGGGTGCTGTGAAAGCGTGTCCTGTCCGTTGGCCACCTTGATTGAGACACCCTTGCTTTTATTTACCGGTTATACGCGCACACACGCACACACAGACACTGGAGAATGCCAAAAATACATCCCGTTTTCCACCTAACTGAGGTAATAAAGGCAAGCCTTTCTTTCCCTCGTTGGAAGCTCTTGACAAAGGCTTTACCAGTCAAAAGAGCAAGTGAGAATGTCAGCTTCTTCATTTATTACATGCAATGAAGAAAAGCTTCGCTTTTAAATCCTGTCCCTTTGTTAGCAAAGTTTTATGCCATCCTAGTCCTCCGTCCCGGCTAAACACAATTGTTCAACACATTCGAGAAGAATACAAAGTTCAAGTAGTGGAGCCTCCTACTGTTCGTACAGCCCTCTGGATGGTCAAATCACTCAAACTAATCCATGCTTTATTTGACCCTTTCTAGACAGCAAGATCTTGGATACACAATGTCGAGTGTATAAACGATGGGTGAACAGTCAGTTGAAACAGGTTTGTGGACAAATTCTTCTTCTTCTTCCTCTTTCTCCCCCCATTGGCCGAGGTTGAAATGGGCAAGTTGGGTTCTTGTAGTCTGCGTGGGCATTTTTCCCTTGTGTTTGTGTGATAGTTGACTTACCTTAAGAACGTCGGGTAGTAAATCGCAAGGATATCCAAACCTGTTCACTTCAACTAGACGCTCATTACCCTCTAACACACCTATAATAATATGGTAGAATGTAAACGGTCGCGAGGTTGCAGAAGCGGTGGACGTCTTTCGCGATCCCGAAGCCCTCCTCATCCTGGCTCAGGAACTGGCCAATCGAAAGACGTCGACGGTAAGTCCATCGTCCTTTCATTCTGGGATGTTTTTTTTGCTATCGAGCTAAGGCGATCGAGACACATTACCACTTGCTGTTCACATCTGCGTAGAAGTTGGTGGTCTCTGAGTTCACCTTATGGCTCGTTTTTTTGCTCTCACCAAAGAAGATTAAATTAGTTCTTTTCCACAATATACGTAGTTAACATTAAGTGCCTACCCGAAAAAACATTACATACGCACCAAATTTGCTTTGCAATATTTAGTAACTAAAACGTGCTTTTTTGGTGCCTCAAAAGAGGAATTTTAGACCATCGGATGGAATCTCCACACTGGAGAACGCAATCTCCCTTATTGAGCGTCTCTACGGTGTAAGTTATGCCTTCCCAACCTCCCTAGTTTATTCGTCCGCTCAAGCGTCCATCCATGGGGTCCAATTTCGAGCCTTTTACAAAGGCGATGTGCACTTAGCACCAGACAACAGGCCACCCCACTTGAAGACAAAGTATTCAAAAGTTGGTGGTGGTATTTCCACTTCCCGGTGCATTTTAGACACTCAGTCACCGCTACACCGAAGTCGACCCCTTCCCTACCCTTAGTCTCCACCCTGCCTGCCAAAGTAAAAAATCTAAAATCCGGGATTACCAACTGTTGGCTTTTATCAAATGAAACCCATAAAGCCGGTGTGATCATTGGTATAGGAGACTTAAAGTGCGAATAATTTTGGTCAAAAGGATCGCTAAAAATAGAAACTCACTGGAGCCTTCCTTCCCTCCCACCTCCCGCTCTGCAAATCGGCTTCTGGTCATCAGTGTTTGTTACATCAGTTCTCTCACCCTCGACTGTTTCAGCCTGCAGGCATCTCGAATCTTGGCAACCGTATCCACTGCCTCTACGAGGCGTAGTGATAAAACTTTGGTTATCTACAGTTACCTCAGGTTACTCATTCCAGTAGGCACTCCACGAGGTCAGTTAGTAGGTCACATTTGTGCGTTGTGCACTTTGCTCCACACCTTTGATGTGGCCAAAAACGGGTTTCCAGTGCAATAGACAGAATAGAAAACGTAATTTGAAGTAGACAAGGCGGCGAATAAGGCGACAATTGTAGAGACCTTCCAAATGTGACAGATACACACACCTACACACATTTGGAGGCAATGGAGGGGGGCCATCAGACCAATGGGGAGACACTGGGTTCATTGCAAAGGGAATGCCAAACATGTTTGTGTGTTTATAAGCAGCACCGCCTTTCAGTTTGATGCCTTCATTGTGCACTAACTGAAATGTCAAACCGTGTTGGAATGCTGATACCTTTTTAAGAAGCAGGCCAAATGACAAAGGTGGTGTGTTTTAATCACACACGTCAAAAAAATCCTTGGCACAGCTGCATTTTTTTAAAAAAAAAGAGATCGAAACGCCCCACCGACACTAACCTTCAGTCTAGACCGAGGATGGACAGGGGTGTGTGTGTGTTGTAATTACACGCGCATGTAAGTCGGGCAGGAGGAAAGCAAGACAGATGATGTTTAAGGCAATAACCGACTCGAAGGATAAAAAAAGATGCCAAAGCTTCACATTTTCGTCCCTTTTTCACTGTTCACCAGGATCTGACTGTCTCATTTTGGCAGTCCAATTGGTTCTGGTGCAAATTAATTCTCCTCCCTATGACTTCATAATAGATTGTCACTCAATACCCTTGCGGATGAAGGAGTTATAAATGAGTTAGGACGTTTCTTTTAGCACTTTGTCAGGAGCAAAACACTGTACCCTTTAAGCACATCGGTAGCGTAATAACCTGTAATGCGTTTTCCCTTACTTTTCTGTTAACAGCACGATGTTGCAGCAGCTATTCAACTAGCCTGCGACATTTACCAACGTACAGACAGTGATCCATCCTCTGCCTCGTCGTCGTTCATACAGCTAACCTTGGGCTTGGACGCGCTCTGGATTCTAGCTGTTGCAGCTGGAACTGGAACTGGTCCCATCGAAGATGCCCAAGAAGCTGGTGGAACAGTTCGGGGTTCAGTGGGCTCCTCAACTTCTACACTAATTGGTCAACGCAGTAAGCGAAGTAGCGTGAGCAGTGTTCCCCCCGAGGGGGAGATTTCTTCAATACGGACACCCCTTCTGGATCGATGGCTTACTCGACAAGATGAGCGCCTATTGGCTTGGTGCCAAGATGTCACCCAATCGTAAGTTTTAATGAGAAATTAGTGCAATGTATTTAAAAGGGGCTCAAGTGGTCGAAAAAGGGAGAGAAGAAGGAAAAACTGTGTGAATGAGAGTACTTGGCATGTGGGCAAATTTTGTGACTGTTTTAAATGGTATCCAGCAAATCGGTTTCAAAGACCTTGATTTGTCTTCATTCCACGCAATACGAATCCCAAAGAGAGCAAATTACTTAGCTTATCCTCATCTCCGGAGCCCTGGAGATGTCTCGTGTGAGAGAGACCTTTGTTGATGATGATTTCCCGTCCTTTCTTTCTTTCTTTCCTCCTTTCTTTCCCATGCTAGACAGCAAAATTTGGTGTTTCTTTCTCCTCCTCCCCAGATATGAAGGGGTGAATATTTGCAATTACACAACATCTTGGCGTGACGGACTTGCATTCCTGGCTATAATTAATCAACAAAGGTATGTATTCGAGACTTTCTCTTTTTTCCTTCTAAAACAACTTTAAAGTTAGTAGCATTCCATTTCGCCATTTTAGAGTAAAGTCAGTCTTAGTACAATACAATACTGTATTTCTGCTTTCTAGTGTTGACAGCTGTACCTCAATGTCCATTTACAAATGCTTTTTCTTCAGTTCTGTTTTGGTACCTATTAATTGCGACTTGAAGGTCCTCCCTGTGTCTGTTAAATTTGCCAATCACTGCCACCGATTTGTAGTGAAGCAAAATAGGGTCTAGAGGACTGAGACCTTATTCAAAACGCGGCGCTTGTTGACTGGAGCATTGGTTTACAAATCGTCTTGTGAACATTTTGTAAATCATTTAGTTCAACATTATACGCTCACCAGAAATATTTGTCTTCGGATGAAACCGACCAATCAGGAGTGGACCTGACAAAAGCGCGAGCTACAAATGCTTTAAAATGATGTGGCTGCAGAAAGCTTGAATAGCACCAAACAGTGTCGAAACGGAAATTTCCTTGCTTTTCAAACTTGCAAATATCCCCAGCTGGTGTCCTCATGCATCAGAATTTAATTAATCAGATAGAGCGTAGCCCTAGTAAGTAAGAAATCAGACGTCATTAATTCTTTAACGAATTTATGGCTTTGTAATGGCTACTGATGCAAATTGATGTGTTGAAGGTCAATCTACACCTCTTCATGACTGGGAATGTCATTGAAAAAGGAGCCACGACAAATTACTCATATAGTTTCGTTTTGTTAGCTAGAACAGATCATCTTAAGACATCAGGCTTCGTCTTGTGAAGGGGCTTCGGTTGTCGAAATGGGTTTGCACCGCAATTCAAACCGCTTAGGACACACGACTTTCCTCACTATTTTTCTGCTCCTCCATAACTCACAGACCAGAATTGTTCAACTACCGTCTCCGCTTGGAGAAACCGCCAATGCAGAATTTGGGTCTGGCATTTCATCTTATGACAAAGGAGTTTGCGGTGGCGCGGCTGCTTGAACCGGAGGATCTACTCTCCAATGATGCTGTGGATGCAAGATCGATTGCCGTCTACTTGATTGAATTACGTTCAGCGGTTGAATGTGACCGACGACGGAGGAATAAACCCACATTTGAAATACGCACCGCCACTATGGTAGGTGGGATCCTTAACACATCCTGTCAGTCTCTCATAATTGACAAAATCAACTAGTCCTCATGCTACGAAGAGCCTTAATTTATTCCTTTGTGGCACGAAGTTGGGCGGGGAACCATGACTTCACTTCTATGTGGCGCTGAATGGGATATACTTTAACTCCTTTCTAACCCCCTTGCATCACGCTCAGCAGTTGAAGCCAAAGGAAAGGGTTTGGCATGTGTCAAACAAACATCTAATTTCGTTTCCTCTCCCCCCTCTCCCTCCTCCTTCTAACGGACAAACGCCCACTCGTGTAAGTTTGGAAGACCTCATGAAGTACTTTGGGTTTTGGTCGTCCATACTACCCTCCCACCCTCAACATCCCTCTCCAACTCCAGTAACGCAGCCCTTCGCTGATATAGCTCACATCCACATGCCTTCCTCCCTCATTTTACCTCTTCCTTTCCCTTTGGGTCTCCTTTGTCGTTCCCTAAGACTTCCACATTGAACCTCGTGACACCATTCAAATGCTATTAGTCCTTGCGATGCCCCCTAAAATTGCAAAAGTCAAGCCAGTGTTAGGCCTGGAGGAAACTGGGCGCATGACAGCAGATTCATGACGTCGAGCGCAGATCCAGCCTCGCAGTTAAACGCTTGGCTGAATAAAATATCAACCTTCTAAATAGAAAAAGCTTTTAAAAAAGATGAGATGAAAAAGAGGACTGGTAATATTTTAAATTTACGAAGCTTACTGAAAAGGAAAAAAAATAAAGCTCTAAAAGTTAATTGAAGGCGATTAACTCACACAAATGACTGGCAAGAACAAAAACTACCTATCTTCATCTGATAGATACAACAAAGTGATTCACTCCTAAAGCTCTTCTTTTTACTCACCTCCTCCTCCTCCTTCGCTCAGAGTGGCAGCAAAGAAGCGTAAATGGCACATACTCTGACATTTCAGGAGAATCAGACTCAATCAAGTCAGCCAAGTGAACCAGATGCCGGCGTCACTGTCACCGTGGTGACTACGTCGTCGAGGAGTTCATCACCAACTGCTTCAGAATTGACTTTCTGCTCAGAAGAGGCCAGTGAATCCGACAATATTAGTCACTTGGAGGACACACAAATGAATTTGGCGGAGTTTCAACACCAGGCTGAACGCAATCTCGCCTGGATGCTGTCAATGGAGGAGCGATTGAGTGACAACTGCGTCGACCTAAAAGCATTTATAGAAGATGACAAGATGGACGAGAGGGCAATGTTTCTAGACAGCGTAGCAGTAGCCGAAAAAGCTGATTTGATTGCCCTAGAAAAGTCACCGCTTGATGATGTCAGGTCATTGAATGAGGCAATTGTCATTCGATTGACGGAGGCAAGGGAACGCTTCAATGCACACGAGGTGAGTCCTATGAGTTTGACCTTTGGGTAAACAAGACGGTGCATCAAAAGAGGTTTGTGTGGTGGGATGGAGGACTGACGCCACCGATGACACAGTCGGGGTTCATTGACATGCGCACCTCTAAACTCCATGATATCCGCCCTCTCGGATCCCTGCCAATGCCCTTAATTGACAATGCTCAAAAATCCTTGTAAGGCGATGGAACCTTTCCATCAGACAAACTGCACTTTTGAAGCCGTTCATATGGTAGTGCGGATGGGGGTGAGGGGAGAGATGCGGTGAGGCTTAGTCGCCGCTAATCGTGGGAACATTTACCTGGGATTTCAAACCGCTCTGCTAAGTGCGAAATAAGCGGTAGAAATTCAGTTGCTCTTTCCGTCTTCATTTTCGTTTTATTCCCAGTCCCCTTTTACTCGATATTTTTTTTTTAAAAAAAATTTGAGGAACGATAACTTCTCTATCCATTGTCTTGCTCTACAATTGTTTGGATAGTTCTTTCCTCTTTTTTAATGCAATTGTACACGCCCTTGGGTTGAGTCGGTGGGGCTTTAATCATTACTCCCTTTGGTGCTGTTTTTAAACACAGTAGGAAATATTATTCTATTAGAGGTATTTTCCCTAGGGTTACCGGTGATAGTGTGGTTGCCCCAAAAATCAGCTCTCTTCACTTTTGGCGTACTTGAGAGCAATTATTCCCCATGAGGATCAGGAATTTGCAGAGTGCAAAGATTGTTTATATGCATGCCATATAAAGCACAGAAATGCATCATTTTCTCGGTGCAGTACACTTTACTCCTGAATTTTTAGCTTCTGCAAGGCAGAACCTCCGAGGAACTAGTCAAACTTCTCCATGCTAAATGAGGTAGATCCACAGTCATCGGTCTGTCCAGTTGACACATGAGGGGAGGGGTGTCTCAAAAGCTGTCACTTTATTGTCCCTCGTCTCTACACTATCCGTCCGAAAAGGTGTTTGTGAAATAGTTTTTATTGTTTGCAGACTTGTAAGGGAATTAGGCTTGTGTGCTACACCGATTTTCAAATGATCACCACTAGGCGACTTAGGCGTCCACCACCTCTCGCCTGCCTCCCTCTTTCCTCCTTATCCACCGCAAGACCCCGCTGTGGTTGAAGACCAAAGCAACTATTGACTAGGAGTTGTCTATTTCCTGGAGGCCAAACATTTGCGACTATGAGTGATGCCTTAACTACAAATACATTCTTCAAAGTGTGCAAGAAAATTTCTTCTAAAAGGAGAGGAGGGCAAGACAATCTTACTTTTCCAATAATAATGGTAGCTTTTTCACATCTTCTCATAACCACTGCTGATGGCCTTAGCAAGTTCATACCTCTCCCCTCAAGTAATCACTATGTCATCGCCATCCAGATTTTATTCAAGGCGTACCGACCGTTAAAAAATCCGCCAATACCGTTGGCCGAAGTGAATAATAAATAAGGCTCATCGAATGCCTCCTTCAAAGAGTTGAAAGTCATATTTCCCTTTTAAACAAATTGACCGAAGGAAGGAATGCAATCGGTGCAAGCGAATGCCTCCTTGAAGGTTGGCAAAGGGTTTATTTTTATTACGGAAAACAAATGCATTTTGTGTCCTTTTGTGAAAAGGGTTTGCGTCGCACTCTCTAACACCCAAATGGAATGGCCACCTTGAGCTTTCCGTTGCTTATCAGTCATTTAAAATAGTGTCGTAAAGACTAAAAGGCTGAGCAATAAAAAGACCAATTCTGAGTTGTTCTTTCCTCCCCTTTTATATTGTTTGACCTCTGTCAATTCTTGTGGTCTTATTTGACTGTTGAAGGACCTGTAAATAAGTGACGTAATTTGTAACTTGGCTGAAAAATTGTGCACTAATCATGTTCCAGTAGAAGTGAAGTCCATTCAATTACCAACTTACCTGAACTAGTTTCAATGCTACTTTGCTTCAGCAAAAAGTGAGGCTGCTCTGTTTTATCCATTGCACAGGATTTGACTGCCCATTTAGCAAAGCACGAACCAGTATTTCGGCGTTGTTTACGCTATGGGCAGCGACTTGCTAATTTAACTGAACACGTACAAAGTATCTCCAACACAACTCCATCCTCCACAACTGGCGATGACTCCGACAGTGAGCGCCAGCTCATTGAGCACCTTCAAGCAGTACAGCCTGATGAGGTAATGAAAATGCTTAATCTTCTTCAAAATCGATGGGAAAATCTGAACAAAGCTGCTGCAGCTGGAAATCGCTTCCTCGCTGGTTGTCTTCTCAATCGTCAGGAGGCCGTGCTGAGTGCTGTTGAGGTACAGCTAAGAAAGCTTGAGTGGGAAAGGTATGTACACATTGACAACTAGTCACCTTGGAAAAATATTTTCTACTTATATGTAAACAGTAACTGGTTTTGTTTTACCAAACGAGAAATTTCAAGTTTTCTTTAGTTGTCCCTCGTAGGGTTGCTAAGTTATGTAATGAAACTCCCCTTCGTGATCAACTATAGGGATAGGCAAGCAACAGAGCGCTTTGGAACAACTGTGCAAGAGCTAAAGTCCCAACTAATAGCCAACCGTAGGCTGGAAAATCATCTCGAATCCGGTGAAAAATTGGCTCAACACATGCAAGACATTGTCATTTTGGTGCCCTCCGAAACACCAAACGCACGAGACGCCGATCTGGAGGGACGAATAGCTACTTTGGCCACACAGTGGAGCCGACTCGTGGAATGGGTACACACGCATTACGCACAGCTGCAAAATGCTCTTCTTCACTGGCGGCATTTTGAAGAAGAAGCTGATTTCCTAGCGGAGTGGCTAAGCCAACTAGAAAGAGAAGCACGTGAAGTGGAGGGTCAGAAAACTCGAGAAATTGAACAGAGAATGGCAAAAAAAGGGGAAATTGCTGGCAGGAGAGTGTCAGAAACGGAAGAGGAGGTAACCCAGGAGGCACGGCAAGTTAGTGAGGCCGTCTCTGACGCTGTTGCGGTGAGTAATCTTTACTTTTTACTTTATGCCAAAAAGTTGTGGTATAGTGGTACCACTATATTCATTTCATCATCGATGCTGAATGGTTTCAATCCTCCTCCATTTCACTTCTCAAGTGAGGTTAGAAGCACACGGATTTCTTCACATCCATGGATTGAATTGTGACATGATATTCCAACATACTGTTACATTTTTTGTGCTCATTATCCGTAGTCAAACGTGTCAGTCTAGGGATAGCAGAAACTTGCTAATTCCATTTGATGAAGAGGAGTAGCCATACCGGATTAATGCAACAAAAGTTTTGTGATGAATTCCTAAGAATAACTACAGTGAGCACGGTGGAGACTTATTTTGAGGGACCGACTTATCACCTTCCGCTTTAACTCCTTAAGTAGGCCGCGCACCTAATCACTCCTGACAATTTCGCAGCACCTGGGAGGAAATTGTGCAGAAAAGCATAAAAATAATAATAATTCTCATCCTTGAAGGGATCGCATTATTATCAGTATAAAAAGCGTCTATAAATAATTCACTTGAAAAGACAGACGTCATTTTCATCACATCACCTTTCAAAGATGATTTTTCAGCTCTTGATCGTAGAATTAAAAAGAGCAGATCTGTCACATCATTGCATTTCGGCAGTGACACGTTTTACCTGAAAACATTATCACAGGTGTGCTTGAGGAGGGCGCATGAAGACGCTGATATTTACAGGGAATGGGCGTAGATATTTTAAAATGCGGCTCAGAAGAGTCTCCTTCATACCTTCAGATTGTTTAACCAGTCTCGTTTTTCAACCACTATGGGCATTACATCACTGCGTAGAAGCCATCTGGATGAAGAATGTGGTGATGGTGACATAGATAGCCATGATTTGGTAAAGACATTGGACTGGCGTCAGCGTTGGCCTTCGTAAAGCTTCGAAGAAGAGTGGAAACAGTTTTGAGGAGGCATCGCTAAAGTTGTGCCAAGGTCGGAGCTTATTCAAATTAGGCGGTTGGCTCTGTTCATTGTCTCATTAGCATTTCAGTCTAAGCTGCAATCATAGAGTCAAGTAGTCGTGACTTTTGTTTACTGTTTACTACCGATCGTAGACCGGGTGTTTCGTCCTCCTCTTTGATTGGTTCTTTCCAAACTCCAAAACCTATCTAGTAGGGAGGTTACAATACCCTCCCTATCAGAGCATAAGGCACTTAAAGTGTTGCAAATAAAGAGTATATTCATGACCGTCTTTTTTGTGTTTATTCCAAGTGTCATGCATACGAGGCTCCCAAAGCTGCCAACTCCTTTCTTACGTCATAAATACCAAAAGACAAATAAAGCAAGGTGGGGTGCATTTCACACAGATTTATTGAGTAACAAGTAATAATACAACCGCAAAATGCTTCTGCTTTGCACGAGGTCACATCTTTACCTTCAGATCCTCAGTCTCATGGACTGCTGTCTAAGGCTGCTCCATTCTATTGGGTTAACACATCAAAATGACCATGGTAACTGAGTTGTGGCCTAATACGCATTTACTCAATCACCCCGAGACACAAGAATCAGGATGACCTTGGTCACAACCACCGAGTTAACAAGGCATTGTGTGCTTGCCAATTCCCACAGTGTGAGCTCACCTAAAGTGTGCCCTTTAAAAAGGCAGCCTTTGTCGTTGTGGATAACCAAAATGCCGCCTTAACCTCCTCTACCGGCTTTGTACTTTCATGTTTGAAGGTGTTGTCCCTTTCAACTTCAACAATGAAAGCTCTGAAATTAAAAGGAAAAAAACGAAACGTTGATAGTGGCTGAAACTTCGTAACATACTTTTAAAGTGAAAAATGATTCCTGATGCCTCTTGTCACTCGCAGCTGACATTGTTACATTAACGTTTAAATGAAGTGGATTTCTACAAAATAAACGAACCACAAAGGCCGTCGTTGAATAATGACACTTATAACACTGCAAAATGGCACAAACGTCGAGTCCTCCTCCTAAATCATTAGCCAAGATATGATTTTGTGAGAGCCATAGCATATTGGCCTGGTTTACTCTTAATTACGGCAGCTCGTAAATCGCTCTTTTAAGGCCGAGGAGAGTGGAGTGTCAGGACAAACGCAGACAATGACATCGTGACCCAGGCTTATTGATTGGCCAGCGGGTTGTAAACACACAGGCTACCTTGTTATTGCTGTATGTTGAGCTCACTTTGACCTTGGCTGTGCGTGTGTGCGTGTGTGAGTGTGTCATAGTGCCTGTGAGGGTGCCTGAAACCGAGTGCTGGTGCATTGCGTAATCTCATTAGTGTCTCTTCTACACACTCAACCACACAGGCCTGTCTTTCTCGCTACGAGACGCGGTGGGCTCAACTATTGGCGAGTTTGGATAGACGCGCAAGTGCCGTGCGTGAGGCCTGTGGTGACTCTATTGAGATTCAACACGCTGTTGAATCACACGTGGACGCTCTGGTATCACGGTGGAGTCAACTTACCGAACCCCAACTGGACGTGGAGGAGAACTCGCCCATCACTACTCCAAAGTTTGCTGTTCCCATGATGCAAAAGTCGGAAGAAGTGAGTTCATGGTTCATCCACATGCAGCACAACTTAACCTTTCAGTTGGAAAGCAATTCGGCTAGGAGTTGAGGAATGTCTACTTGCCCTTGTCTTATTGTCTTGGTGCTTTGAGTCGTAATGATTTAATTATTGTTTTTATCATGATTTGGAGCAGATAGTGTTGCATCCAAAAGTTGCAACATTGTATCGTACAGTCAAATCGTGCAAGCACATTTGTTCCTGAAGTGGAATGAATTTCACTATGGCTGTTCTTTTCTTGCATTCCATTTAGTCAAATGGGTTGAAAAGGTTGCTATATAAATAAAGTGGTGACAATATCTCCAATAAGTGGTGCAAAATACCATTTTTTTTCCCATTTTTGCCTTCTTGTTTGTCACACCACTACTCAGTAGTCCATGAATCGGCCTAATTCTGACGACCGATGTTAAGTGTTCTCCTTGCGTGTCAGGCATAACTCAAACCTGCATAAATGGTCTCTTCTTAAGGGTATACACGCACAAACACATGCAGACGTCGAAAATACGGGTTAAGTGAACGACAAATGAAGCCCTAGTGAAGGAAGGAAGAAAGGAAGGAGTGGTGAGAAATGACGCCCATAACCTTGGGATTAAAGTCGCCGTTGACTCGATTGGCGTGGAGCCAAGTCAAACACCTGTCCCTCTAATGATCCCGCACGAGGAGCACACATGCATGCCCACATCACACGCACACACAAGCGTGTTGAACTCAGCTTTTAGCCCCCACCGCTGGGTGGCCTTGTGACCGCTCTCATTTCATGTCTCTCGGCGTGGCTTATGCGGGAAAAAGTGGTGATGAGGGTGAAGTGTCTGTGTGAAAAAAAAGAAGAGAGTGTGAGAAAAAAAATTTACCACAAAGGTGTCCTTGTTTCTTTACGATCCCTTGATGGAAGGCATTGACAACCGACATCAACCTTTTTAAACTGTGTGAACACTCGAGTTTGTCACTCGCTCTGTGGTAGGAAGGGAAGAAAAACACAAATGTCTAAAAATGCCTTTCATATCTCCTATGCCTGCCTTAGGGGAATCCACTTATTGCTCAATCGCAGATGTATTCACGTGGCCGATGTGAACGAGAAGTTCCATGTTGTTGACTCATCTAGCGGGAGCTAAGGTTGTCCTCCCTGCAGGCCTCTCCTGTGGTTTTCCCATTACCACTGAATGTTGAATAGGATGAATTTGCAGTCACACTCGTTGAGATTGGCTCTATCAACAATTAGGTTAGGCTACGTGAAGTCCGTTCCACCTCCGACGCGGCAAAACGACCGGCTGACAGTGCTCCAAACTCGGCTCCGGAAAAACGTGTCAGTTTAGAATCTGGTGAGTTACATGCGTTTTCTCTGCCTCTTTCTTTTTTAAGTCCCTATTTCTCTGCCTCTCTGATCCATGCGATCGTGAGAGAGCGAGTCATATGGACGCATTTGTAACTCTGACAAATGTGATATCCGAGGCTGGCAAGGTGTGACCGCTACTTTGTGGGTATGATGAAATGGTGGGGTCAAAGCAAGAGGGTTGTTCTATTACTACAAAATTAAAGAGAGACATAAAGGACTCCATTATTTAGTGATTCAACACCACCAATGAATAGGTGGAAAAGGTCAAAAGATGGGCAAAGCTTCTTTTTCTATTTGTAGGCCGACTTTCGCTTATACCGACAGGATATCGTGCTGATTTTGAGAGTCGAGCAGAGAAATTGTTGAAATGGCTGGATGCACAAATAGACTCACTTGAGTTGGTCACGATGAAGGCCTCTGATGAGCAGCGAGACGCCAAGGGGAAGAAAGCTAGTCAGACTTCTGACACACCAAGTGATGTTATCGCACGTGTTGACAAGGGACTTCCAGATGCCAAAGAGGACATGGTTGTTGTCAATTCCCTCGGTGAAAGGTATAGACGCGACCTTAGTCAAGGTAGGTCACTTCTCTTCATCCTGTCGAGTAGAATTTGCACCTTACAGGGGGACTGGTTTGCATTTCAGCCGGTGAAAATGTTGACGAGTTGGATCAACTCTTCGAAGACATTGAGGAAAGATGGGGACTGCTTGATCAACTCTACAAAAAGGCGACATTACAAGCCGCAGAGAAGACGGTGGTTACAAAATCCGAGCCCTTTAATGAAGCTGCTCCGCAGAAGACACCTCTTTCCTCCGCTCATCCTCCCCTGCCGGAGAGAAGTCAACAAAGTACGTTTTCTGTTTCTGATTTTTCACATGAACAAGGGTGGCACTTGGCAATACAAAAGTTTTCTTACTTATGCAAACAAATTGCGTGAATCACCCCAATCGTTGGGGTGACTAATTCATAAGGGAGGAGGCTTGAATAATGGTGGTAGAGTGTGAGGTAGATGCGATCAGGTCATTTAGGTGCATCACCAATGTTGTCTTGTCGACACTCCTTTGACTAGCGTCCTCTGGAATCTAGAACCTGTGACCTTAGCCACTTGGAAGAGGAACTTTTTTCCCACTTCTGGTCTCATGACCACCTCAACTGCAATAATGCGTCCGTAATTCTTCGTCACCTACCTGTGGTCTATTGCCTTCGTAATTCTTGTAGACATTTGTAGATCTATGGAATCCTTCAGACAGTGGCTTGCATCAGCTAAGAATGAAGCTACTTGTTCCATCAATTGTTCAGATGGCAATAACCTCGACGAACTCATCTCCAATTTCACGGTGCGTTAATCGCTTTTATCATCCACTGGGAGGCTACATCAAAAAGGTCCTTCAAATTCTTAGTAAAAACCATTTGTAGTACGCTTATAAATTATCAGTAGTATGTTTTGCATGTAGTAGTAGTGTTTACCTTCTCAACGTGGAATGGCCAATTTGTAATGGCCCTTCATGGCCCGTTCGAGGGGCTCTGGACAGGTCCGGTAGCCTAACGTAAACAACCAGTGTGTATGCAAGTCTAAATTTTTAAATAATCCGATTCTCACACATCTGGAAACACTTTCCTCTCTAAAAGGAACAATTTTCTTTCCTAACCTCCCTTAAAACGCCCATTAAGAATGTTGCGTTTCTCCTTCCAGCAAGTAGTTCAACTACAACCGAGAGCAGCTATTGTGGAGCAATTTCTAGCCACTCTAAAGAAATCGGAGGCCCAAGAACTGACGGAAGAATGGCAGGAGGTTCGCCATCTAATCAGTGAAAGAGTTCCGGTGCTGCAAAATCTCTGCGAGAACCATGACCTGTTCATTGTGAGTCAAATATCTCTTCCACTTCTGAACCTAATAAGACCTGGAAGGTAAACTCAGTCCATGTGATCACTTCAAAAGGGCAGTTTTGCGGAGGTCCTAAATAAAATGCTTGAAAGCTGGCTTAAAGTAGTCTATATATCATCACTTTTGCTCTCCACTCAAAATACTAAAGAAATATTTTCGTCATAGGCACTTTAGTCAATCATGTGCTTTTAAAAAAAATGCACAAAAAAATCCGTATGATCGCGTAAATACATCCTTAAGTGGTCAGAAAGCAGTTAGCGCAAGTGGATGGAGAGTGCGCCCCTCAGGCACCGACGGTATTCTCGCAGACTCTCGATTGTCCTCACATGCAGTCCTCCCGAAGGCCGTGGCTCCAGCTAGCCGTCTGGCTTTGAGAGTCTAATTCCGTCTCCAAGGCAAGAAATCACACAATGTCGGCCTCCTCTCACAGATGGAAAGCCTTACGCTGTGTCGCTCGAGTAAAAAACTGAGTACTATACGTGCGGATTACTAAAGATTGACGTGTCAGAAACATTTTTCACACTGATGGTTAATGCGGAGGCATGACGACTCGGTGGTAAAACAATTAAACAAAGGCGAAAAGTCATAATGATAGCTAAACCCTTATTGTTAGATAGACAAAAACCCAGAGTTATCCGCCGTTTTCCTCTTTATCTTCCCTTTCTTCACAATTTCCTCCAAAATTGCATCTCTCGGGTACTCAATTCATCACCCACTTTGTTTCCTAAGACGTCAAATCGTTGCTAAAATGTTTCATATTTTTTTGACCATCGTGAGTGTGTGGTAGATTACAAACTCAACAGTTCCTTAAGTAATTCCTTTTCACAGACAGGACTTTGCTCATGGGGAGATAAATGTTTCGTCACATATTTTGCTACCCTGGAATTTGGAGGTGGTAAAAGTGTCACCAGGTCCTTCTCGGCTGCAGCTTAATGCGATTTCTTTGTTCATACATCCCTGAGTCGTTCGGCTAGGGCTTCTGGCGGGCATATCTCCTTAGCTGAAACGCATCAGTCGGCTTTGCCCTCAGTTGGGATGTGTGGCTTAAGCGCTGTCAACCTTCATCACGACTTTTGATAACAGTAGGCCTAGACTTTGTGTATTCGTGGTCGCGTCAATTCTCCGTTCACTTTCTCCTTGCTTTACTGAAGAAATCAACCAAGCATGTCCTTCAATGAACCACTGAAGGCTATTTTTAGAGATCGCCTAAAGAATCTCAGAGCTCTAAACGCATGAATAAATTTATTGTTTCATTCTTTTCTATTTTAAGAATCAAATTGAACGATTTGAAAAACTCATGGGGGATATGTTTGATTACCTCGATTCGGTGGCTCAGGCCACTAATGCCCAACCACCAGCAATTGAAGCCCAATTGGGTGAGTCTATAGAGGCCCTCCGTGACATGGAGAAGATGCAGCCCACACTCGGTCACCTAGAGGGCATAGTTGAAGAACTAAAATGCTTCTTTAGCGAACCCTACATCAAAGTAAGCTGTGATTGGTTAATTGTGGATTATGCAGGCACAGTCTCCTGCTGTATAACATAAATAAACAAAATGTTTTGCTCGTACTGTGCAGAATTTAAGCGAACGCCTTGGCGAATTGAAACGCACCTGGAGTCGAGTAAAGGAGTTGACGAATGAAAATATTCTCTTCCTTCGTGGAAAGTTAGAATCAGCTATTGCTGCGAAGAAGGCAACATTGGAGGGGGAAGAAGAGGAGAAATCAGTGGGGGAGAAGTCCGGTGATTCATTTTCCTCACTTCACACTCCGGTGCAGGAATCACCTATCACAGTAACTAGTGGAACTGCTCAAAACCGACAACCAGATACCATCATGGTTCGGATGTTGGACATGGATGAGTTGCAGAAGTGGATCTCTAAATCCAAGCATCGGCTAGCGAAGTACGCCACTATCAAAAATCATGACGAGATGGACGAATTCGCAAGTTTTTTAGAGGTAACAAATTCTTTGTACTTAATTATATAAAGTAAGGCATATATAATGACTTTTTTCCTTTACTAATAGGCATTTGAAAAAGAGCTGACCTCTAAACGACCAATGATTGCGGCCATTCGAAATGGCGAGGTAACAGCTGCCACAGGTCAACCAGTGTCTGAGAAGACCGCTCTCCTTTTCTCTGGCCACTTTGCTGATTTGGAGTCGGAGTATGCTGCCGGACAGGAAAGACTCAAATCAGCAACCTATCACTTCAACGACTTCAAGTGTGAGTTTCGACGCACAACCTTTAAACCTGAAATGCTTGTTTTGAAAAGTATTCTGGTACCTCCTAGAATGCACGACTGTGGAAAAACAAACGTGAATGTTTAGCCCACCCAACCTATCAATGTGGTACTTTACTTGCTGCTTCAACTTGCAGCAGACTGAACCTAGTGGTTTTAATTTTGACCTTCATCCGAGCGATTGCTTGTAGAGTTCGCTATTGTGGTAGAAGGAAGTACGAATAACTTATGTTTGCCAAACAAGGATTCCTTTATAGCCCTCGTCTCTGATCACCCAGATGGGGAAAAGCTGCATGATTGTGCAAAGGTTTATGTCTCAAAATTTACCCATGGGAGAACAACATTTAGAACTTGGGGATAGGAAGGGGTCTAATTGGATGGGTGGCGATACTGCTTGATGCTTCTTTGCCCCCAGACTCCCGTCCTTTCCCGGCACCGATTCTAGGCAACGGCCAGACTTTTTAAGGGCAGGACACATTTTAGAATAAGGAGATAACAGCAGCTAAATATCTTACACAAAAGAGTCCCATACTAGTGATCCTTTTACACCGAAAGAACTACCTACCCCAGACCTTAATGTTAGGGACGTTCTTTAAATTAACAAATCTTGTATACTACTTAAACTTCGATAATTAGTAGCGTGGTGCAGTATTTTCCTTGTTCGGTAAAAAGTATCTCAAAAAGGCGAGAAGATGGATGAGGCATTTCTTGATTTAAACACTCTCGTCAAAGTTGGCATCGATGAACAGTGTCGCTCTGCAGACACACTACACCATACTTGATAAGGCCGAAAATACTGCCTACAAAATTGTAATGAAACCGAAAAGACAAAGGCCACAGAGCAGAACAAAAGCTCAACTCGTACATTTTAACAAAAGGCTGCCTAATTGTAGTTTGTATTCTAAAATCTCATCCCGTCTTTATTCATTAGCTCTGATGTCCTACGAAAAACACTGGCTGGAGCGGATCGAATCCATGGTACGCAAATCGAAGCAGCAGGTGTTTGTGGACATTGGTGACATCTGTGATGACATAATGGTGAGTGACTTTTGCAATGCATGCAGTGCCTCTTCACACCTCTCACCTTCTCATGGGGCGGGTCAACTTAAGTGGAGCGGCTGAGATGCGAAAGATCTGCGGGTGCAGTGACTTAGCGAGGTCGAAATTTGGGACCAAAGTGTTTCTTTAATAAAAATTTTTTTTCTCACGAAATAGCGCATAAAAGTAGAGCATTCGTCATTTGGAATTTCATAAGTGACAAATCGCGTTCACCACACACAGACTCGCATACACGCGCACTCAAGCCACTTCGCTCTAGCATGGCTTCCACAAACCCCCTCAGGAATCGCGGTAGCCAATTAAGACTGTGCGTATTCGCGAAGTTTTAACAAGGAACTGTGGACTCTGGGTTCAGGATGAGGAATCCTTCCCCTATCTACTTTTAAAGGCTGTTAGACTTCTTCATCACAAGTTTTCTCCTCTCCTGTCTTTTGTGTAGTTGTGGATTAATTTTATGTGCTACTTTCTACCAACAGAAAGTCATTAAGGTGGGTTTTACTCTTTGCATGAGTAGAATGCATGCATAAGGCAATCTTACTAACTAGCTCTATCAACCCAAAGATAAAAAGAAATCTCCTTAGAAGGCGATAACATGCCTTCGCATCGCATGGTGTTACCTTCAAACAAATCCACTAAATTAGGTCATTTTTCAAAGAGGTTTCCGAAAATTCCAGGGGCGTACACTTGAAGCACGCAGTAGAGCATAAGAGGGTTTAAACAAAGCGATAAATTTTTTCTGCTCTCTTTGAAGGCCTTTGAAAATTTGAAGTCAGAACATTCGGAAGACGATTTTGCCCGTTTAAAGAAGATTGTGGAGCTCCTCTCTTCCGAGGGAATTATGTCCCAGCAGCTGAACGCGGAGTTCGAAGCCTATGCCATTGGCGTCACAAATGCTCTCAAGCAGGTAGTTATTTGAAGCACTCTTTGAAGGAGGAAGAAGAATATTATGGCATTAGTAATTGATACTTATCCAAAAATAAGTAGACTTGGCACTTGACATCATACAGTCTTGCGTGCTTTAGAGGTGACGTGATTAACTGTGCACACAGGAAGCAAGTGGCAAGATGTCTTTGGGAGAAGAGTTAAAAATGCA